AGGGTTTCCAAGGCTGTAAATCTTTACAGGAGCAGAAAGCCTCATCTTTCTCCCATGGAGCGACTGGTAGTTTCAAACTGCTGACCTTAAGATTCGCAGACCGATTCGTAACCACTACGCTACTACTCCAGCATTAATAGCAGAGTTTAAAAAATATAAAATAGAAAACAACTATTGTTGGTGAGGGTGTTGAAAGAGTGGGACTCTTCTACATTGCAGGTGGGACTGTAAAATGCTTCAAACACTGTGGAAAATGGTATGGAGCTTTCTCAAAAAAGTTGGAAATATAAATACCACAGACCCAGCAATCCCTCTACTTGGTATATATCTTCAAGAAATAAAAGACGTGATATGACTAGACATATGCACACCCATGTTCACTGCAGCACCATTCACAATAACAATAAGGTGAATGGCTAAATAGATGAATAGTTGAACGAACTTTGGTTCAGATACACAATGGAATATTATGCCATGTTGAAGAATAATGATGAATCTGCAAAACACCTCATGACATGGAAGAATCTAGAAGACACTGCTGAGTGAAATTAGTTGATCACAAAAGGACAAATAATACATAAGGTCACTGTTATGAAAAGTTAAGATAAGATTTTCTTGCTAAACGAAACACTATGATGATTCCTGATGTGGTAACATAGGATAAGCACTGGACTGTGAACCACAAGGTTAGCAGTTCAAATCCATCAGCCGCTATTTGGAAACCCTATACAGGGTGGCTATGAGTCGGAACTGACTCGACAACACTTAACAATAACATGATGGTTACAGGGCAGGAAAAGTAAGGAGAAGGAATTATTCATGGGCTAAAGGGTAGATACTTGTTGACATGTGTGACTGAGCAGGCAATATACAACAAGACAAGCTGGAAGAGGAAAGATGAAGATAGCAGGAGACACAGGGAAGAGTGCAAGAATCAAAGGAAATGGAGGTAAATACTGTTAACCGATGGTACCTGCAGGTGATTACAATCAAAGTATGATTTGCTGAAGGTAAAACTGCTCTATAAATCTTCACTCAATTCACAAGAAAGTTTTTAAAAAATTACTTGTGCCCTTACATCTTTGTGACATTGTTGTTGTTGTTGTTGTCAGGTGCCATCGAGTCGGAACCAACTCATAGCGACCCCATGCACAGCAGAACGAAACAATGTCCGATCCTGGGCCAACCTCACTACCGCCGCCACACTTGACGCCATCAATGATGCCACCTGGCTGATCCATCTCGTTGGGGGTCTTCCTCTTTTTCTCTGACCCTCCACCTTACCCAGCATGACATCCTTCTCGAGTGACTGTTCTCTCCGGACAATGTGTCCAAAGTAGGAGAGATGAAGCTTAGCCATCTTGGCCTCCAAGGAGCACTCTGGTTGCACTTCTTCCAAAACAGATCTATTGGTTCTTTTGGCAGTCCATGGCACTTTCAGTATTCTCCTCCAACACCACAACTCAAAGGCATCAATTCTTCTACGATCTTCCTTATTCACTGTCCAGCTTTCGCATCCATATGAGGTTATTGAAAATACCATGGCTTGGGTCAGGTGCACCTTAGTCCTCAAGCTGACATCTCTGCTCTTCAGTACTTTAAAAAGTTCCTGTGCAGCAGATTTGCCCAATGCAATACGTCGTCTGATCTCTTGACTGCTGCTTCCGTGAGTGTTGACAGTTGATCCCAGAAGAATGACATTATGCTACATATATTCAAAACAGGACAGTTTGAATCCTGAAAGAAAGCTTTGAGATAGTAAATAATAATAACTACCTAGCTGCTCATTTAGGAGCCCTGGGATGGCACAAGGGGTTAAGTGTTAGGTTGCTAACTGAAAGGTCAGCAGTTTGACCCCACCAGTTGCTCCACAGGAGAAAGGCCAGGCCTGCTTCTAAAAAGATTTACAGTCTTGGAAATCTTATGAAGTAGTTCTAGTTTGTCACATGAGGCCACTCTGTATAAGTTTACTCAACAACATTTGTTCATTTTCATAGTCTGGAATGATGCCCTCTTACATCCTCAATGAAACCTCAAATGGTTTTCTTCTCACCTATTAGAAAGAAACAAGTATGCAGAGGAGACTGCTTAGCCCACTTTTTAAAGGATAATTTTTTCATGGTAAGAAATAGTAAAATTAAGCCTGTTTTTCTATTCCTATATCAAATAACCAAGGAACTCTGATGGCATTGTAGGATAAACACTGGATGGCTAACTGCAAATTTGACAGTTTAAACCTATCAGCAGCTGTGCGGGAGAAAGATGAGGCTATCTGCTCCTGTAAAGATTCAGTGTCTCAAAAGCCTCATATCGTTAGAACCAAGTCAGTATCAATAGACCAGGAGATGAGAGCAATGGGGAAAAAAAATCTATTATCTCAATATCTTATCCACTAATTCCCTATGTATGTTTTCCAAGTGCACCAGGCAGTTAGGTGCTGCTGAGTCAGTTCCAACTCATAGAGTCCCCATGCACAACAGAATGAAACACTGCTTGGTCATCCTTACAGTTGTTGCTATGCTTGAGTACATTGTTGTTGTCACCGTGTCAATCCATCTCATTGGGGGAGGGGGTCTTCCTCTTTTTCATTTACCCTTGACTTCATCAAGCATTATGTTTTTCTTCAAGGACTGATCCTTACAAACATGTCCAAAGTACGAGAGATGAAGTCTTGTCATCCTCTCTTCTACGGGCATTCTGACTTCATTTCTTCCAAGACAGTTTGTTCTTCTGGCAGTCCCTGGTACCTTCAACATTTTTTCTCCAATAGTTAACTCAGATGCATTGATTCTTCTACATTCTTACCTATTTATTGCCTAACTTTCATATGCATATGAAGTGATTTAAAAATACCATGGCTTGGGTCAGGCACACCTTAGTCCTCAAAACAACATCTTTGTTCTTTAACACTTTAAAGAGGTCTCCTACAGCATATTTGCCTAATGCAATGAGTTGTTTAATTTCTTGAGTGCTGCTTCCATGAGTGTTGATTGTGGATCCAAGTAAATTGAAGTCTTTGACAACTTCAATCTTTTCCCCTTTTATCTTGATGTTATTTATTGGTCCAGTGGTGAAGATTTTTGTTTGTTTTATGTTGAGGTGCAATCCATACTGAAAACTGTAGTCATTGATCATCAGTAAATATTTTAAGCCCTCTTCACTTCCAGCAAGCAAGGTAGTGTCATCTGAGTCTTCCTCCCATCCTGATGTCACATTCTTCGTCATATAATCCAGTTTCTCAGATTATTTGTTCAGCATACAGATTTAGTAAGTATGGTGAAAGGAAATAACCCTGGCGAACACATTTCCTGATTTTAAATCGCTCTGCTTGAACAGATACAGATCACTCATGAGCACAATTAAGTATTCTGGAGTACCCATTCTTCCCAGTGTTATCCATAGATTGTAATGATTCCCAAATTCAACTGCTTATTAGAACCACAAAGGGAACTTTGAATAATCCCAAAGTCCAGGTCATAACCACTATCAATTGAAGCAGTATTTCTCATGGTATGAGCCAAGAAGAATGTCTCAAGGTGGAAGGCGGCATTTTTAAAAGATCCTCAGGAAATTCTAATGTTCAATTAATTGGGAGGTATAGTTTGGAAACCAAATATTCCAAGAGTCCTGGACTTTACCAGGCAATTGTTTCTGCACTGTCCTAGACATCACATGAGAATGTAGCTTGTTGAAGCTGGAGTTTAAGTACTAAGTATTTAGAGGGTTGACCTGTTACCTTTGTCATCTTCCACCTTCACCTTAATCTTTCTGCAACTCATTTCTTCATCAGTGAGATAGAGGCCATTGCTACTTCACAGGTTTATAGTAAAGACTGTTGGAAATTTTTTAGAAAATAGACAATAGTATGGCTGATACACAGTAGGGCTTCAATGAATGTTGTTTTTAAAAGTCCACATTTGATAAATGAGACCATGTTCGGGGCCTGCCTTACCCTATCTTACTCTTCTTCTTGTTGTTGTGTGCTGTGGAGTTGGTTCCAACTCATAGTGACCCTGTACAGGGTTTTTGAGGCTGCAAATCTTTATGGGAGCAGAAAGCCCCATCTTTCTCCCACAGAACAACTGGTAGTTTTGAACTGTTGACCATGAGATTAGCAGCCCAATTCGTAACCACTATGATATCTGAGCTCTTTATCTTACTCTTACTCTGTGAATTTCACTTCCATTCCTCCTCAATGACACAAGAGCACATTTTTCTACAGGTCCCTCCCTTTCTGCTCTTTCCACCTTGGCCCTCCCCACACTCAACTGCCTCTGTACCAGTTATTGCCAAGGAACAGAGAGACACAAAGGACTTTTTCAGATCCATGATCACAAGGATATGCTACCTATGAGAGCTACAGTAAAAAGGACAGGTAAGAGCAGCTAGCAGAGAGACCAAGAGAATCAACACAAAGAGAGGCTGAGAAAGAATTGGGAAAGATAGAATCACAGAGAGTACTAAAAGCAAGAGTAGAATTAGGGTGGAGAAAATTATGGGAGAGAAAATGATTCAGTAACAAGAATAAAACAGATATATGTATTTTTGAGCACCTTCTTTAAGTCCAGCTCTTTTTAAACACTTTGAAGGATTCAGGAGAAATATGTGAGGGCTTCAAAATATTTGTGGGAAAATGTCATTTTCTTTTAAGCTTATTTTTTTATGAAATTTTTGAAGCCATCTTGTAGATGTGGTCCTTATAATCAAGCAGCTTAGGGCGGCAAAACAAACACAGTGGGAATAATGAGAAATCAGCTAAATAGCACAGTGAGAGCAGAAATGCTTAGGAGTAGCTTTCTAGAGGAACTATACCTCCAGTTGTATCTTACAGGATCAACATGATTCTAAAAAGCAAAAAAAATAAAATAAAATATCTCAAAAATAGGAGAACAAAGTCAGAGGATGGGACAGGAAACAGAATACCCTCTGTTACATCCGTCTTCCATTACTCTATAGGAGTTACAGCAAAAGATGCAAAAGGACTCACACCCCTAATAATACTAATGGTGATCATTTTCTTGCTGCTTCTGTTCTGGGAAAATGAAATGAGTGGAAGACCAGAGATGCTAACCTTAGAGCTGTTGCAAGTGGATTACCCTCCAACTGATGTTCCTGTGAGGTACTGCAACCACATGATCTTACAAAGAGTCATCAAGGGGCCTGAAAACACCTGCAAAAAGGAGCACATCTTCATCCATGAGAGACCTCAAAAAATCAATGCTGTGTGCACCTCTGACAAGAAGATGGCTTGCCACAACCATTCTACCCTTTCCTGCTTCCAGAGCATGATAAAGTTCAAAATGACAGCTTGTGAACTCATTGAAGGCACCAGATACCCTGCCTGCAGGTACCACGTTTCTCCCAAGGAGGGTTTCATTCTTGTCACTTGTGATGACATTGGGGCAGTTAATTTCCAGGGATTTATTGAATAATTTGGGATTCACACCTGAGTCTGAGATCCTCTCTTCTTCTCTCTCCTTGGTACTGATGCTGGTTCTTCTTGAGGCAGACCTGAACTGTGGACATGGGGTAATACCTTTCATGAAATGAGTAACCACCAGTCATTTATCCTTTCAGGATGGCTGAGCTGGAATCCTTTTTATTTTGCTTTAATAATAATAATAATAAAATCTTCACTAAATTAAACCATGAACTTGACATGTGTTTTAATTTCTTGTCCCTTGTCATTTGGTCCTTTGTCCCTGGTCATTTGGTGAAAGCCAAAAGTGAATCTTAGGCAGGAATGGGATCAGGGTAAAGTGAGCAAGGTACTCACTTCATGTACAAAATTTAAGGAAACGCCAAGAAAAATGCTAGTAAGCTGGATAAATTATGTTTTAACCAATGAAAATTAATTTAAAATTCTCCATTGAAAAAATATCTAACTTTTAAATAAAGACCTGATCTGACAGGGCTGGGAGTAAGATGAGATGAGGGTTGAGAATCATACCAGTGACAGGCTGGGTCCAATCCTGTCATTTAAGATTTTTATACTTATTCTTTAGGATTTCTCCCTCTCCCTCTCTCTCTCTTTGTATTAAAAAAAAAAAAAAATTGCATTAGAATATTATTTACCTAGATAGCTAATTTATGGGAGGGGGGCCAGGGGGCTTAAATTATGTCCCTGAAATGTGTGTCTCATTTATCTCATCCTAATCCTAGCCCTGGTACCTTAGTAGCTCTTAGGATAAGCATTGAACTTCAAACCACAAGGTCTATAGTTCAAGCCCATGGGCCATGTTGCAGAAGAAAGATGAGGCTTTCTGCTCTTGCAAAGATTTATGGCCTTGGAAACCCTACATAGGGTCTCTAAGAGTTGGAACCAACTCAAATGCACTTAACCACAACAGCAATCTCAGCCCTGATTCCAGGGGTAGAAATAATCGGGGTCACCTCTTAGTGCATTTTCTAAAAATGGTATACATAAATCAAATCACACCTGTTCCTGTTCAACAGCTCTTCTGTGCCTTGAGAGAGATCAGAAGAAACCTGACAGACCAGAAACTATTTCCCTTAAAGACTGTGGAGAAAAATAAGAATTTCTAAGGGGCTGGGGATGAGGGTTGAGACTCTCAGAACTCAGAGTATTTCCTCGGCATTCCCCAGAGGGAATAGAGAGGGCTTTGGTCTACATGATTAACTCTTTTCCCCTTTTAGTTCTTACAACCAAACTCTTTGCTTTGTTGCCCCAAGTTCAGCTATAGGCATAAGATCCTTATTGTCAGAGTGTGAGAGAAAGAGACGCTCCTGATTCTTTGAATTTGATCAAATTCAGTTCCTTTCTGATCATCAGTTTCTTCATCTGGAAAGTCAGGGGCTTGAACTAGATCATATTTGAGGTTCATTCCTGTCTGTTTACTTTACAATTCTATTTCTTAGGGAGTAGACAGTGTAGTAAGAAATAATGGATTACACATTAGCCTGCTAACTGCAATGTCAGAAATTTGAATCCACCAGCTGCTCAGTGGAATGAATATGAGTCTTTTTCTGCTTCTATAAAGATTTACAGCCTCAGAAGCATAAAGGGTCGCTGTGAGTCAGAACCGACCCCACGACACACCATCACCATCAGGTAGTGTAGTGACTGGGCTTGCTGAAGGGAAAGATTAGTATTGAAGAACTATAAGAAATACTAGGGGGCTTCAAAAAGTTCATTGAAAACTTCCATTATCTTTAAATTCCATTTTTCCACTAACTTTTTGGATACCCTTCATAGAGAACCATTGGAAAATATAAGATAGGTTATGGGGTCACTAATTCTAAACTAGACCTTCTGCATGAGAGTCAGAGGTTCTTTCAGTGATCCACGTGGCCACAAGAAATACAAGTTTCAGAGAGCCCTCGCTGTCCTGATCTTCTCAGTTGAGAGACTTCAAATGTTCCATTGTTGATTTGGACTTACTTCAAGGCCAGATCAAAGAAAGAGATACACCTGTGCTAGTTGTTCACTCTGTCTTCTGTAAACATCAAGTTCTAATAGATTGATACAGTTTATGGAGAGGAATGACAATCATGAATAAAGGACACTTTGCAACATTGTTAGTAGTTCAGGCTTATCCATCTCCTGGTTTCTCCTTCCATCTGAAGTGGCCCTTTTGCACTGCACCTCATTATCAATTTCTCTATGTGAATCTCATTGCCACTGTTGTCTTTATGGAAGTTTGGATGGCACTAAGGGAGCAGTTTGGAGGCCTGGTGTGGCACTATAGGATAAGCTCTAGATGGCTAACCACGAAGTTAGCAGTTAAACTCACCAACTTCTCCCTTAGAAACGCTATACAGGGTCGCTATGAGTCAGAACCAACTCGATAGCACTTAGCAAAAGGATCTGAACAGAAGCTGTGCACGAATAGATGGCCCTACCATAGGACTTGTTGAAGTAGCAGAAATGGGTCCTTTAGTCTCCTGCTTTTATTTTATTTCCTAATGGATAGGAAAAGAAATTAACCTTTTCCTATCCATTTCCTAGGTTTCATTGTCCTTTCTTTCCTTTCCAGTATCCCCCCTCCTTTCTCCTCAACCTCTTCCTTCTAATTAAAAACAAAATATTGCAGATAGAAACATTTCCATTAAAGTTTAGGAATAAAAATCCAGTTCGAATGCATTGTGATGTTTTAGATATTTATAGTTTGAGGGGGGTCTGATTTTTTTTTTAATGGGTATCTAGTAGCTTGCAATGAAATCTAGGCAGCTGTGAATTCTGCCTATTTGAAATATGGGCTTCCAGAATGCTAGGAATTTCTGTACTGCTCAACTTCTGCTAATTTTTTTCTTCACTGTTTTTCTAGAAATAACAGGAATACTTCTATCACCTCACTATTAATGTGGATGGTAGAGGATATAGAAGTTTGGAATACAATCTAAATTCCCTACAATTCCTTTATTCTAACCACTTTATCATGCATCAGCACTATGTTCAAGACACATGCATGAACATATACACTTAATTTTTAATAATCTATAAAATAATCCATCAATGCAATTATTAATTGAAATGCACCCATTGCCATAGAATCAATTTTGATTCATGGAGACCCCATGTATTGCAGAATAGAACTGCTCCATAGGGGTTTCTTAGCTATAGCATTTATAGAAGCAGATCACCAGGACTTTCTTCTGCAGCATTGCTAAGTGTGTTTGAACTCTCAACCTTCAGGCTAGTAGTTGAGTATAAACCATTTGTATTATCCAAGGACTAGGACCTTATTATTTAGGCATACACATATTGGTTCTGGGTCTTTGCTTTCCTGTTCACATAAGCTAGTTGCCATCAAGTTGGTTCTGACTCACGGTGACTCCACCTATGTCAGGGTAGAATTGTACTCCATAGGATTTTCAATTACTGATTTTTTGGGAGGTAGAGTGCCAGGCTTTTCCTTTGAGGCATATCTGGGTGGACTTAAGCTACCAAACTTTCAGTTAGCAGCTGAGTGTTGAACTGTTTCACCACCTAGGAACTCCAAATATCACACATGTTGTTGTTAAATGCAGTGGAGTTGATTCCTACCCACAGTGAGCACATCTTAAAATCAAATATAAGTTATATTTTTTAAAGCCCATGTGTATTAATATCAGATGAATGGAATAAGAAAGTGAATAATGAAAAGTTCAGAAGAGTCTAAATGGGTTTGGTAGACTTTAAAGTAGTTGAGAGCATGTGTAAAAGAAACAATAGGATTTTTAAGAATTTCAAGAGGCAGAAAAGAAAGAAGCAAAACTTGAAGGTGCATAGGTGCTATTCAGAGAAGAATGAACTACACAGATAATGGAATTTTTCCATGAGCTATTTGAAATGCTGTTATTTTGCCACTAGAGCAACTTTGGTAACAAAATAAAGAGATATACAAGAGGACTTCAAAAAGTTCATGGAAAAATTCCATTATCTTTTCACTGTATTTTTCCATGAAATTTTTGAAGCCCTTCATAAACCTTTTAAGGTATATTAGATTTAGCTCAAGTAGAGCCTTGACTACTGGACTCAGGGGATTAGACTTCCTCCTGTGGGCAAGATTACTGAACTAATGTGTTGTAAGTGGGTTTTTTAGAAAAGTAGCGTATTGAAGGGATCAAAGGGATTAGGAGACCAGGAGTTAAGTAAGGATGCATTTCATGAGATATATACATAATGGAAGGGTTCTCTTAGATGGAGTACAGAAATAAAGAGAAAGAAATGGAATCTTTCTGAGCAAGAAAAGAATCATGCCCCTAAACAACTATTCTCTCAGACATTCCCATTATGAATTTTCAAGTAAAGTGCTCTGTACAGTGGTCAAACTGTTATACTCCTAACAAATACTGCTGAGAAATTGGTGTGTGTATAGTTCAGTGCTTGATGCTTGATGCTGTGTGGAACAAAAATATGTTCCATACCAAAGAAATTTTCAGCCCTAATAAGAGGGGGCAAAAATTAACATACCAACTAACTCAAAAAGTAAAAATAATGAAGTTTGATATAATCTTTGCTGTAACACTTCAGAAAAATGAGGGGTTGGGGGTGAAATTACTCTTGGTTAAAGAATAGGCAGACAGGGAAGAGTCACCGAAGAGGAAGGTCACTGAGATTCTGGCTTGTTAAATGGACACTATGTTCAGTTCTCTGAGAGTTCTTGGTTCCACATCATCTCCTCCTTGGAGTTCATACAAGTCTATCCACCCCTTTCTTGCCCCTCCTCCCTTCAGTTAGACCCAATAACAGCAACTCCCAGGAAACAAATGCAATTTCACTTCTAGCCCTCCAACCAACTGGGATCATTTTCTACAGGATCAACTTGCCAAAAGGAACTGGTAAAGAAAGGAATTCCATGACTGAGAATGGGCAGGGAAAGAGATAAGAGATGGGGAAATGCTGTTAGGTTTTTATTGAGTGGTTTTCATGTGCCAGGTACTATGTGAGTTTGTATAAGATGTAGTAATAGTGAACAAGGCATTGAGTAAAATTATTATGCCTCACTATGAAGATTATAGACCCCAACAATGAGATTATTGATAAGGAAATAGGGAAAAAAGAGCAATGGCTATTTGGTGCTGAGCACTTTGAACATATTATCTCATGTAATTCTCACCACATTCCTCCCCACCCTAACCCCCGCCTTTTTTTTTCCTCAGATGGGCCAACAAAGGTTACACAGGTAAAATAAATTGTTTGTAAATAGAGGAGCAGGGATTTGAACCTGAGTCTTCAGACTCCACAGTTGATTATCATTTTCCTATGTAGTACTTGGAGTCCTGGTGTGGCACTGTGGGTCAACGCACCAGACTACAAAGCCACTTGAACTGCAAGGTCAGCAGTTCAAGTTCACCAGTTGCTCCTTGGAAACCCTATACAGGGTCCTATGGGTCGGAACCGACTCGACGGCACTTAACAGCAACAACAATGTGATACTTAGAGTCCTGGTGTGGTGCTGTTGGTTAATGCACTGGACTGCAAAGTTGGTTTGAACCCCAAGGTTAGCAGTTCAAGTCACCAGCTGGTCCTTGGAAACCCTATACAGGTCGCCATGGGTCAGAACCAATTCAAAGGCACTTAACAACAGCATGCAATAGTTCCATTCAAAGGAGTTCTGGTAGCGTAGTGGTTAAGAGTTGGGCTGCTAACCTTAAGGTCAGCAGTTTGAAACTACCAGCCCTTCCGCAGTAGCAAGATGAGGCTGTCTGCTCCGGTAAAGATTTGCTCTCGGAAACCCTAGTCGAGGTCACTATGAGTCAGACCACCACCACCACCACTTCCATTCAAACACATCAGCTTACTACATGTAGGGGTCAGTCCTGGGAAAGCTGACATAAGGAAAAGAAGACTGTTTCTGTGATTTTGTCCTTGTTTTTATCTGCTACTTTTTATCTTTACTGCAGAAGAGATTACACTATATCTGAGATGGAGACTTTATCTCTGCTATTGCTGAACCTGGGGTTGGTTCTCGCAGAAGCCTCGGGAAACACAATGAAGATAATTAAAGAAGAATTTTTAGAGGAAGAAATGGAATATGACATAGCAAAAAGTGGCCAAGAAAAACAGACCATTGAGGGATTAACGAACTGGACACTGTTAGATAAAAATACCAACCTCAGCATGTCCAAGGATGTTATGTTTTCTTCATTAATGACATTCAGAAGCTTACAGTATAGCTTCCCCAAGGGAAACAGTCCAGGTGGTGACAGAGAGTGTTGTAATGCCATGGTCTTCTGGAGAACTGTGTCAGAAGCTAATGGGTCATACAAACTGAGAAATAACTTCATCCATGACTCCACAGAAATGATGCATGGGATCCCCAAGTTCCCTAGTTGCAGGTATGAACTGAATCTTGATATGGTTCGAGGTAATGTGGTAGAACCAAGCTGCTACGAAAGCCCCAAACTGAAGACCGTTATACGCCAGCTCCCGACAGAAAAACAATTTCCCAGATGCCAATATAACAGTGTTACCGCATTTAAAAAACTGTTCACAGTGCTGACAGGTCATTCTCTAATGAGCTGGTTAGTGTCTCTAGATTGTAATTCCTACAGAACTCTGAGACTGGGGTCTTCCTAAAGAAGGGAATAATCACTCTCATTTCTTTCCTTCTGTTGCTCTGGTAGCATAGTGGTTACGAATTGGGCTGCAAACCTTAAGGTCAGCAGTTCGAAACTACCAGCCGCTCCACGGGAGAAAGATGAGGCTTTCTACTCCTGTAAAGATTTACAGCCTCGGAAACCCTATACAGGGTCGCTATGGGTCAGAACCGACTCGATGGCACTTAACAGCAACAACATTATTCTCATATATCCTTTAGCACCGGAGTATACTCTTGATTATTTATACTAATTGGAATGAAAAATCAAACATTGTGGGTAATATAACTGCTCCTGAAATAAAGATTGTCATCTTCGCTCACACACACACACACACTCACACACATTCTTGAATCAAACCATCTTACTTCGCTCTAAAGCCAAGAAACTGAGGATTCCTAGCCAGGCAGAATTAAGGGAAGAGGACACAAAGCAGCATGGATAATTGAAAGTTAAATTGCCACTGTAGCTCTTCAGAGAAATAATCATTGAATGTGGAAGGCATTATTATACTGCTTATCTCTAAAACATAATGTGCATTGATGTGTGTGTGCACATGTGACTGCTTACCCATGTGACCACAGACCTGCCTATCCTCCAGAAGATCCCAGAGTATAAAGGTCCTTTGGCTTGGCTGTTACTCTTAGTCACTGTCAACAATTCTAGCCCCATGCAATCTTCATTCTTCTACCCTCACCCCTATCTAACTCACAGGTTTCTGTAAAGGGAAGAAATAAATATTTCAATGCAATTTTTATTCAAGCATAGTCTTGATACCCTAGAGGCTGTGGGAAAATATTGACAAGCCACCGAGAAATAGAAGAGATAGAAAGATGGAAATAGAAAATCTATCAGGCCGAGTATTAGGTAAGATTGGTCCTCAGTTCTCTTGTCTTCTGACATTGTAATTTATAAGTCTTTATGGTTTAACACTACACAGAATATAGGCAATTCTATTGCTCATTCATTTGCTCCTTAGATGCTCCTGTTTCCTCATCTTGCATCCTCCCTCCATTCTGAGAATGAATTTTAAATAAATGTATATAAAATACTGTATAATGTAATTTTTTCTTGTTGTATATCATTCTTTATATGTCAGCTTTCTAATTTTTTCACATACGATGCAAAATTCTGATTATATCGATACTGCAAAACTCTGAAAATCAATAAATATGTATAATTGCAGAAACTTTTTTTTTTAAGAACTGTTAGCTTGGGCTTCTTTTGTGGGGGCTACTTGAACAATTATTCACTTAAGGCTTGGTCAAGTAAGTATATAGTTAGCATTCAATTTTTGGTAACCAGAGAAAAGAATGGTGCAGAAAAATTCCTGAGAGCCAATAGTCTCTTCTCTGCAGGAGGACCAGCGCCAGTCCAGGATTAGTATCCTGTAGTGAAATTGATGTTACCACTTACTCATCAAAAAGGTAATAGAATGGAGTAGGCTCCTTCCACGGTAGAGCAACATAAGAGGTCTTCTCTCGGTTTCAGTTTGAATTCCAACCTGCCCTCTTACTCAGATAACTTCTTTTCTACAGTAGGAATTCCGACTCTGACTTATAGGCATGTCTGTCTCTGAGACAATATTCATATGAAAAATTGTTGGATTACATAAGAAAAAGCAAATCCAACCTCATTGAAAATTTGATACAGATTTTATTCCTTCATCAGGAAAAAAACAAAAAAAGTTTCAGAAGATATACCTAGTTTTAGGTCAGGAGCAATCTTTCAAAGAAACTTAATTGTGATCAAGTCTCCCTACTTCTCTGAAGGGATTGAGAGCTCTGGGTTCCAATTCTTTAGTGTTTAACTCAAAATCATACCGCTAATTCTAACAGATGTTGAATGTGGAGATGCTTGGAAAACAGTACTCCTGAGTGCTAGCATTACTTATCCTCTAAGCCTGTCACCCCTTGGCATAGTGTTCATCCTAAAACTCTTCATAAAGATAGTGAGCAAGCATGTGGTGCTATAGGATAAGCACTGGACTGCTAACTGCAAGGTTGGTGGTTCAAACCCACCAGCTGCTCTTCAGAAACCCTATTCAAAGTTGCTATGGGTCAGAACTGACTCAACAGCACTTCATAGCAACAAGAAATCAGTTACCTTTGGCATAATGTATACCCTAAGACTCCCATAAGGCTGATGCGCAAGGGATTTCATATTGTAAAATATTAGGTTTTGATACTGTCAGTTTTCTGCTCCCAAACCATAGATGGCTCATTTTTTTGTTTTGTTTTGTAGTTTCATATCTAAATTTCTCAAGCTGGCTTTCAAGGGCTCTAGTGCTTTGTTCTCATCTTACTTTGCCTGTCTCCAGCACCTGCCTGGGCTCTGTTATTTTGAGATTGCTCTCCTCACAGTCCACAGAACTCACTGTGTCCATAGTGATGCTATAGGACAGGGTAGAATTTTCCATAGGGTCTTCAGGGTTGTAAATCTTTACAAAAGCAGATTGTCATATCTCCTTGGAGTGGCTGGTTGGTTTGAACCACTGGTCTTGTAGTTAGCAGGCAAGCACTTTAATCACTGTACCACTTTTGTCATCTCATCACCTCAATTCACTCATTTGCACAGCTCTATCTGACCGGATAATGGTCTAACAAATGTGCCTCATACTTGTAAGAAACGTAACTAAGACGTAGACATGTACCATATCCCTATAACTGAAGGAAAAGCCTGAGAGGGAATTAAATGAAGTGATAAAAGACACAGTCCAAGGAATAAGATGGGCCATGGAAGGGATAGATAGGAGAAAATAAATTGGAACTAGAGTGATGGTTTGTCAAAGTGCTGCTAAGAAATCCAACTTAGCATAAGAGAGGAGACCTTCTTACATCCAACGATACCCTTTATTTTCCCAACATCAAATGTACTAAAATTCCCTTAACCTATTCTACCCCCACCGCCACCCCCCACTTAGCCTATTCTGAAATGATGGTAAGTCCCTGGTCTCAAGTGCCCTATGGTACTGAAGGAACAAGAACCTTGGAAGCTTCATAAATACATGCCCATATTTTACTGCTGTGACCCCTGAGCAGGTCATTTACCAGCACTGGAACTCAAACTCCCCTTACAAAAAGTATGGAGTTTAAATCAGATCTGTGTCATAATCATTGTGGCGAAGCTTTCTGGTTGTTTATCCAAATCCACCCGCCACAGAGGGGTTCAGGCTGCCCAGTTATACTTCCTGTCACAGGTTTTCTCAACAGAAAGAAATGCATGTTATCTCTAGGTTCAGGTCTTCATAAATCAGACTGGCATCCTCCAATTTTGAGAACAGATAATGATAAAGTCCTTGGATTGGCCTGAACAACAAAATGGAAGGCAGCCATGTCCCAGAATAAGGGTACAAGCAGAGCTATTTTGCCAATCTGAACTGCTCCTGTTTTATGAAAGAGAAATAAACATTTATAATTTTAAATCAACTGTATTTTGTTTCAGCAGCTTAGTTTTATCCTAGAAATTTTTTTTTTAATGTTGTTATTAGATTCAAATTCCTAGACTCTATCCTAGGAGATTTGGTACTACAGCTCTAAGACAGGACTTTGTTATTGTTGGTAAACACTGTTGAGTTGGTTCCAACTGACTCATAGCAAACCTGTAAGGGTTTCCGAGGAGTCGCTGGTGGGTTGGAACTGCCTATTTCATGGTTAGCAGGCAAGTGCTTATCTTACAACATCATACCAGGACTTCAAGACTAGCATGAGTCTAGCATGTGTGTGTGTGTGTGTGTGTGTTTTGTTCTTGATAGTTTGTTTTATGAGTGTGTTGGTTTGCTGCTATGCTTCAAAATTTGACTATTACTGAATTAGATGATCTGGAAGCTTGGTTTCTAGTCATAAAATGCTCTAATACTAATTAGGAAGAACAGAATTTTTGAGATAGTAATGGGGCAAAACAACTCAGTTTTAACTCAAAAAGCACCTATCTCCTATGCAGTCTCCTAGAACTAACAAGACAGATTTTGTTATCCTGAAAATCTTTAGCCACAGAATACATCTGGGAGCAATCACAAAGGCACTGTAAAAGAGAACTGTTTGCAGAACAGTGGCTAAGAAGTCGGGAGAGGTGTTACTCACATGAACTGCATCCTTTTAAGTCCAAAGACAGAAAACTGACAGGTTTGGGTAAGATCACTGTTTTTAAGTCACTAATCCTTCACATTTGGCAAGTATGTAAAACTTTTTCAAGATCACATACAACAATTATCATAAGGATATTTATGTTGTTGTTGTTGTTGTTGTTAAGTGCCGTCGAGTCAGTTCCAACCCATAGCGACCCAGTATAGGGTTTCCAAGGAGCAACTGGTGAGCTTGAACTCACAACCTGACAGTTCAAATGGCTTTGCAGTCTGGCGCATTAACCCACAGTGCCACACCAGGATTCCAAGGATGTTTATGGGTAATAGTAATTGTAATTGAGCTCTTATGATATCCCAGCACTGGTCTCAGATATACAATTGCTCTTTTTATTCTCCGAACAATTCCCAGGAAGTTAGAGTATTATTATTCCCATTTTATTCATGAGAAACTGAAGAATACAAAGTGCATGCTTAAGTGGCCTCCAGGATCACTGGAGTCTTCTCCAGGAACGGGTTCTTCTCCGAGGAGGACAGGTCCCTCCTGACAGCATGGCCAAAGAATGAAAGAAGTCTTGCATTCTGTCTGTATGTCTTCCAACACAGGTTTGTTTATTCTTTTGGCAGTCCATGATACTTTGAATATTCTTCACCCACATCATAATTCAAATGCATCCATTTTTCTCTGATCTTCCTTAGTCATTGTTCAGCTTTCACATTCACATGAAGTGATTCCAAAAGGAATTATCATTGGCTCTTGAAATGGTTGAACATCGACTATTTATTTTTGGTACAATGACTCTGTGTCTTCCATCTTCTTTTGAACCTTTCTTATGAGTAATCTGTACATGGACCAAGGGAAAGTTTTTCGAACAACATGGGAACACTGAATGGTTTAA